CGGTGGGCGCCGGGAGGTCGCTCTCCAGGGCGCCCCCTAGCGCCGCCTCCTCGCCGCCCTCCTCCCCCTCCTCCTCCTCCAGGTCGTCGTAGAAGGACGTGGTGGGGTAGAAGTCAGACTCGTCGAAGGGCGTGAAGTCGTCGTACAGGTCCAGCAGGCTCCAGGAAGGGGTCTCGCCGCCGTTGTCTNATACGCCCCCTGCTGGGGATCGAGCCTGCAAACCGGGCATGTGCCCTGACACCAAATCAAACCTCCATCTCCTGGATCCTAGGTCAATACTCAACTGCTGAGCATTGCTGTCCGGGCCCCAGAGCAAAATCACAGGCTTTCCCCACATTTCTGGTAGCCCTTAACCAACTGCAAGGTCTTCTCCCCATTATTTTTTTTATCACAGTTAACTCCTTTTGGCAATGGTTGGATAACTCCAGTCAGAACTGTGCGGATACATCCTGTATGAGTGGCCCCAAGTCACGATCATTTATAGGCAACAACTTCGTAGGAAAGAAGTGGAAGTCAAGTTTTAACGCCAAAGCACAAGATTCATGCTTTCTACGTTATTCTTCTGTAACAGCAAGACCTACAGGGTTCTAATTCTTCACACACCTCCAAAAAGACCAAGAAAAAGAAACATTGGGAATGACACTTAAAAAAGACATCCAGGTTACAAAAACGCTCCTCCTCGGACCAAGAGAAACAAGTCGCAGAGGAATCTGAGGTTCTACTCCACTTCCAGGGCCTGGAAAGGGCGAAGACGAGCAAAGCACCCACACCAGCCCCGACTTGTGATTCATACAGAATAAGCCGGTGGGTTGTCCAGCAGGTTACCCACCTCACTGGGAGGGTAGGTGTATGAGTAATTACTGATGAGCACGGGACAGTAGTACAGACAATGTCCTTAGGGACACTGGATTCTCTGTATCCTTAAAACATTCTGGACTGAGTGTTCCAAGAAGACCAAAATCAAAGTGGAAGGGGAGAAGCCACTACCCAAAGTTAAGAAACCCCACCACCTCTGCTCCACCTGGTAAGACTCTCTGCTTGACCTGACCTATTTAGGGGGCTGCCCTCTGTCTAGGTCTGCTCCCCATGAGTAGATCTGACCTGACATCCCTACCCTGCAGGGAAACAAGCCCTCCTCCTGCCACACACGTGGCTCAGGGGGAGTGCTCAGCAGCGATCTTTCATCCAGGGTAGGTTTATGGGCCTCCTCTCTTTGCCAATGTAGACAGAATTCCCCAACAACAACAAAAAAATCCCTCAAGCCAGCAAAAGGGCCCCCCATTCCGTAGCCCTCCATTCTGCCTTTATCGTTTAGTGGCTAAAGTAACAAACACGACACTTAGAGGAAATGCACAATCTTATTTTTTCTGAGGACCCTCTCCTAGTGAACGAGGTCACAGGCATTGGGGGAGGGGACACCTAGGAAGACACAAGCTCCTGGAGGCTGTGCGTGTCACACAGCACCCCCTGTTGAGCCGGCCTCAAATCCCCCCGCCCCCCGTGGGGAGCTCTCCTGCGAGCTCCCGCGCACCCACTCGCCGCGCCCTTACCTGCAGAAGGCCCCCATGTTCTCCACCAGGTAGCACTGGCCGCCGTTGTGACAGTAGCTCGGGAAGAGGTCGCACACGGAGCGGCAGGAGCTGTTGTGCCGCACAAACCCGCTGCGGCACGCGGTGCCGTTCTCGCCCGGCTCCCCCGGGCGNCGCCGCGGCCCTCGCCGTCCAGTCCTTCGAAGTAGTCGATGTCCATGATGTCCGACGCCGGCTGCAGCTCCAGGGTGCCCTGGAAGGGGTACGTGGGCTCCGGCCCATGAGGGTCGGGCGTGCTGCCCCCCAGGTTGAGCCAGACCTGCACGGGGCTCTCCTTGGGCAGCGCGGGGCCCGGGCTCGGCTCGGGGTCGGCAGTGGGGGAGGGCGGTCCGCTGGCCTCTGCCGCCTCAGGGGTGAC